AGATATTTTCATGAGATTTGTTGAGATGACAAATTAGCTTTTCAAAAATAAACACTTATGCTGGCATTGAGGCACTTTTTATTTACTTTGGAAATGAAACTTGGAAGAATAGGAGAAGCAAATGTATCAACATTGTCTAAATTTCAAAATATGGAGCAAACTTTGGTAGCTAGGAAACATGAAAATATTTCTACTCTGCTTGACATCCCACAGAAACTATAAAAGTCAATGCACTTTGGGAGGAAAAATGTTAACCTGAATATTCAATCAATATTCACCTTTACCTCAAAGGAAGGGAATAATGTAAAATGTGAAGAATGTATCAAATTTTTCTTATCCAGAACTAGCATCAAACAGGCAATCAAACAGATAGTTCTGCATTCCTCAGAGATGTTTGTGTTTCACTTGCAAAAGATCAAATATCTTTAAACTTCCAATAAACACTGTTTTTGAAAGTCAACATACCTTGGGCATGAACATGGGAAAAAGATGACTCTTTGAAAGGAGATGATTATCATTGACCAAATCAATGCAAATATAATATAAACCATGACATGAAGTACTCAGAAACTGATGCTTTAAAACTGCAAAGCTCCAAAGTAGAATTCAAAGTATAACCACTAATACCAGTTGAGTCTCCCTTATCCAACGTTCTTGGGACTAGAAGTGTTTTGGATTTCAGAATATATATATTTTTGGATTTTGGAATACTTGTATTTCCATATACATACATAATGAGATGTCTTGTAGATGGGATCCAATTCTAAACACAAAATTCATTTATGTTTCGTATACACGCTTATGCATATAACCTGAAGGTAATTTTAAACACATTTTTTTAAAAAATAATATTGTGCATGAAACAAAGTTTGTGTACATTGAACTATCAGAAAGCAAAGGTGTCACTGTCTTAGCTATCCATGAAAAGTTTTGGTTTTTGGAATATTTTGGATTTCAAAATTCTAGCTAAAGGAGATGAACCTATATTGTTGGAAGGGGTATGGAAATATCAGTTCATAATTTCATCTTTGTGGAGATACCTATAGTGTAGTAGTTCTGGAAATGGCTTACTGCCAAGCATTTCTCCATATTAGACAGCAGCTAAGTCCCAGATCAACAATTCATCATTTAAGCTCATGTTCCTAGATTCCTGCATAAAGATTCCCATAAGCAATGCAAATTTTTATGAGCAGTCTATTAAATATCAAAAGAGTCTCTAACTGCTGTTATGACATTGTTGTTGTATTTTAATTGTTGTTGTAATTCTAATCTGTTGTTTTAATATGTAATTGATTTAATGGCTTTTTAAGGGGGGGTATATTGTTTTTGTATTATTTTTAATGTTGTTAACCGCCCTGATTGGATTACCAAAGAGTGGTATATAAATACATTTTATTATTATTATTATTATTATTATTATTATTATTATTATTATTATTATGACCAATCACATTTGGGAGATCTTGATTATGAATATTGCCTCTCAGCCAGTTCAACCAGAAAGGAATCCCAGCTAGAGCAGATTTCTGATCACATTCAAATACAATTTATATTATTTTTTCCTAAATTTAATCTGTCTGTATACACTGTATATACTGTACTGTATATGTGAACCAGTGTGGCATAGTGGTTTCAGTGCTGAACTGCAACTCTGGAGACCAGGGTTCGATTCTCAGCTCTACCATGAAACCCACGGGGTGACCTTGGGAAGTCACACTCTCTCAGCCTCAGAGGATGGCAATGGCAAACCTCCTCTGAAGAAATCTTGTCAAGAAAAACCCATGATACATTCATCTTAGGGTCACCATAAGTCAGAAACTACTTGAAGGCACCCAACAACAACAACATAATGCATACATTCAAATTCTTCCAATAGATGGTAAGCTTCTCCTTGCATTTTCTCATGGCAGGGATGGGCACAGTGCAGCCTTCAGGACACATGTAGTCCTTGAAACCACTATGTGAAGTTCCTGAAGCCTCCTAAAGCCACCAGAGCCTCCAAAATTTATTTTGGGGGTTCATTTTTTTGACCCAAATCCATCCCAAAGATCCCTAAACTCTGTCCAAATATAGTGGTTTGTTTTCCCCAATCTCCCAGAGTCCTCCAACCCTTCTCCAGTGGCCAATGGCATTACATTGCCCTGTCTCTTCTGCCCTTTTTTGAGTTTTCTCCCAACAGATTTTAACCAACAGAGCAGTTCTGCCTGTAAATTGCTGTTAGCAGATCTTTGAAATCATTTGACAAATTAGAATTCTTTCAACAGAAGTGCCTTCCTGCTGGCAGAAGAGAGTTATACTTATTTTCAACTTCTTTCATCCGGTGCATCTCTGAGTAGAGATCATACTGCCTGTATAGTGGCCATTTGGGTAAAGATATCGAGATAGCAGCTCTGTGCTGCCCCTCGGAACACCCGATCAGGGCCACAGCAACTGCATGCTGTGGTCTTGATCCAGCACTTTGCCGCTCCTTTATGTAGTGGCAAAAAGCCGCCCTTGCCACCATGGCTTTTCTGTGCTCCTTTGGCACGGCACAGCACATCTAAACATTGTGCCAAGGGAGCCTGTGTGCGGTCGCCACACCCTGACTCCACCCCCAGGCTGGCCCTGTACTGTCCTGAAGTAGCCCTGACAACCCCCACCAAAAAAACTTGAGTCTAGGGTCTTGCATTTCCAAACAGCATTTCCTCTTATATGTTTCTTCCTGTGATTATTAGCTACACAAACCAAACCAAAATCATTGGACAGAAAGCAATCAGATTTATTTATAGTAATGTTGTACAAGAGCAGCAAGAACTGGCAGAATTCCTTGTTCATATCTAAGTACAAAAAACTGCAGGACAAGGAGATGTTCACAAAAAGAAAAAAGCTTTTGAAAGCTCAAAAAAAGTTGCATCCTTCCAATTGTAGGCAACATTCTACTTTGTGACTTTCATGACTTTGCCTCAGTGTCCTCTTGCAATGTTTCACTTGCTAATTTTGAAGTTTTTGCTTAGTAGCTTGATTGTAAAAAAAGGTGCCAGCTGGGTATAGGAAACTGATTAATTCTCATGAAGAACATTACTTAGTAGAGATTGTGGATTATAGCCAAGTGCCTTGAAAAGTCCTGATTGCAGTAGGAGCTATTCTCAGGGCTGATAAAGCAGTCAGTGTTGGCAGAAAGTATGGTGGACTACTTAACAGGGCTATAGATAGTGGCTACATTTTGGATGGATTTGCACATGGTGGAACAATCCCACAAAGCTCTCAGAAAACATGGTTAGAAATCCCAAAAGTGAGGCCATTTATGAAATCTGGATGTGAGGGTGATCTGGCTGTGACATATGCCACACAGGTAATCACCAGGACTGATTTGAATTATCTCACTAGCTAGATGGGTGTCCTCTCATTGCTCCATATCAGTCCCTCCTTAAGATATGTGCTTGGTGGAAGAGGGAAACCATCCAAGATAGAAGGTGTATACCTTTTCTTAGTCACATGTTCTTATATTCTAGCAATCTATAGGGCAAAAAGACATGTATTCTATCTAGACATCTAGGGAGGGGATGATCTGAGGAGGAAAAAAAAAAACATTTTTCTCCCTTTTGATCATCCTAATAAAGCTATTAGAGTCATGTAGCTCTTAAGTTTTTCTTTTGGCTAATACAGCTACTTTTGCATTTTGTATGCCCCATATCGAAGAATTCTGAAAGAGGCCCAGTGAAAGAAAATGATTCCATACCATATGCAGCTGAAATTTCATTCTTACAGCTCCAACCATTTTGACAACCATTGACATTTCTTAAGATGCTAGTCTAGCATGGGTGGGCAACAACAAAATGTCCAAGGGTATTCCCATCTCATTTTCAGCCCCAGACCCCTCCCCCCATGCCATATGCCTTTCTGATGAAACTAGAAGTGATCAAATGATCACTTTTGTTTTTCAAAAAATGCTATTTTATCATAAAATAGTCTATGTAGATAAAATAGCATTTAATGGGATAATCATGGTCCCTAGTTTAATGGGAGAATGATTATTTTACTTGATGGTGAATATTCCTGGGGCAGCTCAAAAAGCAGCCTGTGGTCTACACATTTATTCATTCATATTTCTTACTCCTGATATAAACTTAACTAAGGGTTAAAAATAAAAGTATTTCCCATTGACAAGGTTGTCAAGTCGTGTCTGACAATAGGGGGTGATGCTCATCTCCATTACTAAGCTGAAGAGCCAGCATTGTCAGAGACTACTCTGTGATCATGTGGCCAGCATAATTGCACAGAATGCTGTTTACTTTCCCACCGAAGTGGCACCTATTTATCTACTTGCATTTGCATGCTTTTGAACTGCTAGGTTGGCAGAAGCTGGGACTAGTGACAGGAGCTCACCCCATCATGCAGCACCCAGGCCTTAAACTGCCAACCGGTTGATCTTGCAATCAACAAAGTCAGCATTTAAAACATAAACTTAACTACAGCTTAGTTAATATGGAATACACATTGTTTTCCGATGATAAATGGTGTGCTTCATGCCAGGTACAGACAGTTTCAGGTTTACACTTGTACTTTATGTTTTCAGAATGGGGGGAGGGCTTTTCTGATTTTCTTGCTCCTTGCATTTCTAGATGCTTTCCCAGATGAAACCTAAAAACATCGCATCCCTGATAGAGCCTCATCTGAATGTTTGTGGATTCCTCCTCTTTTATTCCACCTCAAGAAATCATTTAGACATCATGATGTCAATATCAACCTCAAGCCATGTTTATTTCCTCCTCATCTCCAACTTGACTTCCTTTTTGTATCATCTCATAACACAATATGGAAATCTTAAAAGCTTGCATACAAAACTTAAAAGTTTTCAAAATAAAAGCTTTTTTCTTTCCTTTTAGTTAGTATCCCACTAATAGTGATTAAAGTAGCAGATGATTTGAACTTCCAAGGATATCTTTGGGGGTTGCAGACTGCCAGAAATAGTGCAAATTGAGTCCACTTTTAGGGTTAGGGTTAGGTTTAGGGAATCATGGGAACTGTATTTTATTGTGGCACCAGAGCTCTCTGACAGAGAAGGCTCAATGTCTCAGAAAAAAAAATTCCCATGGCTCCCTAGCACTAACCCTAACCCTTAAAGTGGACACAATTTGCACTATTTCTGGCAGTCTGCAAAGGCCGTAAAGGGCTATGCAGATGGGCAGGAAAAGGTGATTTGAAGTTGCCTTTTCCCTAAGCTTCAGCAACTGCACCACCTGCCCCAAGGTTGTCCTAAATGGAAATGGAGCAACTGCATTGGGGGCAGTTGATGCAGCTTTTCTGAGGCTTATTGAAACCCCACCAGCCTCACTGCCAGCCCCAAAGTTTCTCTAAATGGGGATGAAGCAACCACATGGGCTGGCAGCAGCTGCTTATTTTTTTTATTTTTATTTTTGCAGTCTCTCAGGCACATACGCATGTATGCCAGAACAACATGGCCCCTTTAGCAGCAATGTTGGCATAGTTGTGCTCCTGCGCACTGTCATGGATGCCACGTTGATGAAGTAGACCGCACTGGTAGTCAAACTGCAATGCTCAGCCACAGGAGCTGCCGTCATGACCGCTATAGCAGCTTCATGCATAGAAGAGTGCAGTGATAACTTGGAGGACACAGAAGGGAGAACTGGTAGAGTGGGTGCAGTAACAAGCATTGTACAGTGTACTGCCATGGCTGCCGCTCTAATGCCAACTGAGAGAGCCCCACACTGCTGGTGGCTGTTCCCCAGAAGCACTGACTGGTGGGATGGGTTCATCACATACATCTGATCTGATGAGCAATGGAGGACATGTTGGGATGTGTTATTGAGGCAAAAGAACAATAGAGAATTTGGAGGTGTTTTAACAAAAATAGCTTTACTTAGCAGAAGTCATGAAGTTGAGGCAAAAACAAAAACAGTACAAAATGACACAGTACATATCAATATAACATTACCATTGCAGCAACATGAAGAACAGTCTTACCTGCAAGATCAGAACCAGCATGTAGAACACACTCAGAGTGCCACCAAACAGTATGGAGAACATATACAGAAAGCTACCAGCAGCATGGACAACATATTCAAAAAATGCTCCCAAAAACCTAGCAAACATTGCACTGTAGTTATACCTTCCTAATTGATCAATACATTCACCTGGCCTAATTTGCTAATTACATGAGTTTGTTACACTCTCATCCCGTCACAACTTACAACTAGCATAGCGTGACAAGACATTCTTCTGAATGCCCTGTGCTCTCTTCCACAGGATAGTAGAAATACTGCATCCAGAAATGGAGCAGTCAGACACTATCATGAGGAAAGCCATCTCAGTAGAGTAGAGGGTCTCAATGGCCATCTGGATACTCACCCACAAAGACAGCTACAAGCAGACATCAGGGCAGTTTGGGGTCAGCCTTACCACTGTGAGGAAAGTGTTGCTGGATTTCTCCCTCAGCATGGAGAAGTTGCTGCTGATACAGACAGTGTACCTGGGGGATGCTACTCAGGTAAGAAATGTCACACACACTTGTCCCTTTCCCCTCCTTTATGGAATTAGCACACAGTATGGAATTCACTGTATAGGATAGGCTGCTGAGGTCACTGGACATTGTGTACGTACGTGAAAAACATCATGAGTTGGCATACAGTATGGCATTTACTGTATAGAATAGACTGCTGAGGTTGCTGGACCTGCACAATTAGG